ATCCCTTCATCCTCCACCCACCCTCCCCATCCCTTCTCGGCTTAAATTCTGAAATGCTTTGTTTGACTTTGTAAAAATAATGCTAATTAGTCATTTATAGGGTTTAATTCTGTGTGGCATTCAGCATGTGCGTTTTTAACAGTGCCGACAGAACTTCACATGTTGATGATGTGCTGCTGTCCTTCCACCCCAGTCTCCTCTCGTGCTGCTTGTGTTCTATGAACTAAACACAGATCAGAAGTAAAAACATTGTACTTTTGGTAGTTCTCTGGTGAAGCGTGTATTTAAAGACATTGCTGAATTGATTTCTTCAACTTTATATAGTTTGGTGTCTGCTGAAAAGGACTGGTTTTCTCACACTTGGAGCAGAACTTAGGGCGTTGTGGAGCTGTTAGTGTTGTATGTCATCAGTCTGGGGGACGTGCCACTCGTGAGCAGCTTTTCTGTTTCAGTTTTCACTTATTTGCATTAAAAGTGAAGGGTTTTATAATCTGCTTTCAAATTACAAAATCCCATTTATAATTCTCTTGGTATTTCATTAAGAAAATGTAAGATAGTTTGTCATTATCCTATTTGTCATTATAACTTGCTAATTTGGCCAAGAAATGCTGTTTAAAACTCCCATATGGAACAGTATAAAACATGGTGATCTGTGTCTATTCAGGTCTTCATGCAGATTTTGGAGGAGTGCAGTGGCAGATTGGCTCCCTCTCTTGGTCATTTTCTATACCTACAGGCAGAAGTATAAAAGTTAAAAGTTTGACTTTTGTGTTTATCTTTTACATGAGTATTTATGGGTTTTACTAAGATAATGTTCTAAACTAGATTCATTTAGATAGGATACACTGCTGTTTCGCTGGGCATTGCTTTTGTGGTTATTGCCTCTTTCTGGGGTGACTCTGTAATTGGAGCAGAATTGATACCACCACTGAAGATTTTCAAACAGGCATTTCTCTAATTGTACAAACAGTTAACTGCAGTAGCATATTATTAAATGACCATGTTTAGACTTTTTCGTGTCAATTTAGATTAGTTAGGAAAACATCCCATTTTAGTACCAGAAATGACAGTTTTGAGTTACTCGAATTAAAAATAATTTAAGCTTCAGAAAATTGAGTTTCAGTTCCTTTCTCATTTTTAAAAATAGACTTAATTCTGTAAGATTTAATAAGATTTAATGGTTAATTGGATTTATATTAAAGTTTGATAAGACCTTTATATAGAAGCTTTGCTGACTGCCTCTGCCAAGTTATTTATAATTTCAAAGAAGAAAGTTTTACTCTGCAAGCTAGCTGAATAGTTTGGAGGAGGAGATCGTGTGTGTGTGTGTGTGTGTGTGTGTGTGTGTGTGTCCACATAACATTTTTCTTCCCCAGTAAATATCTGGCAAGTTTGCTTTGAGTGGTTTTAGTATTTCAGAATTTCACTTGCCTGCCAAATCCTCTAACTTAATGCAGTTTAATAATGGCTAATGATCTCAGCATTACAGTCTAGACTTTCTCCATCCACTGTCTTAGAGCGTCTTAGGTTGTTTTCACAAAATATTTTAAGAATTTAAACTATGCATTGCTCATATACAAGGTATTTATTCACAGTGTTTATAGGTGCCGAGCAGCCGTGTTTATAGTCTCTCCTGTGCCAGCAAAGAAACTGAGATTTGTGTTTGATTTCTCATAGTATATTATTTCACTAAAGTATGTGATCGATTATTCAAATGAACTTTTCACTCTACGATGAAACAATCAGAAAGCAAGATGTTTTCCAACGTAGTGAAACTTGGTGTTGAATTTGACTCTTAGATTTATGGTCCAAGGAAACATCACTTTCAAATAATCAGAGAATACTTGCATTTTTCCCTGTTTGAATTCTCTTACCTATCAAGTATGAGCATAAACTAATTAGATGGATTCTGAAAACTCCCTGACTTTGGATCTACATTATTTAATCAAACCTAGTAATGATTGTATAAGTACCATGTAAAGTGGCCCTTATGAATGTATTTGTATCAGTAAACTATTTTAACTCACTTGGAATACACTTAGCTTGCAGTATGTACATGTGTTATCCAGTAAGGGTGGGCCTCTGAATGACTAGGTCCTGATGCTTACATCTGTCATTCCTGCTATATCTCCGTCCTTCATTTTTATTTCGAGACAGGATCTTCCTAAGTTGCCCAGGCTCACCTAGAACTCTCTGCAGCCCAGGCCAGCCTTGAACTTATCCTCCTGCCTCAGCCTCCCGAGGTCCTGTCATCCTCTTCTGAGAATGAGTTAGCTGACTTCCTACTTCAACTCCCAGCCAGTCTTTCTCTGGAAGCTTTTAGAATCAAACAGTATTCAAATGGGAAGTTTCTATGTTACCATATATTTGAAATGCTCTCTTAAATTAGCTGGGAGTTGAGCCAGTGAGATGGCTCAGTGGGTAAAGGTACCTGCTGCCAAAATTGATGACCTGAGTTCAGTCCCTGGAACCCACAGAATGGAAGGAGAGAACTGACTCCTGCAAGTTGTCCTCTTACTTCCACACGCGCATGGTGGCTCACATGCACACACATGATACACGTGTACACACACAGTAAAAATGTACAGTAAAAATTAGCTGAAAGTTAATTAGCTAACCAAATTGAATAGGAACAGAAAGCTTGATAATATTGCTGGAAATACATCTTGCTGCTGGGGCTGGAGATGTAGTTCAATTGATAGAGCGCATGCCTAGCATGCAGGAGGTCCTGGATTCAATCCCCAGCATCGTGAAAACCAGGCTTGCTAGCTCTTCACTGTTATCCTAGCTGTTGGGTAACGGGGAGCAAGTAAAGGCAGGCAGGAGACCCTGCCAAAGAGATGGGGTGAGAGGGAGGTGGGGGGAAATGGATTGAGGTGCCAGTCTCTAAAAGCAGGCTATTAGGAATTCAGGTATCAGGAAAATGAATCAAGAATGAGGAATTTTTTTAATTTGGAAAGAGATGCCTAAAGTTTTTGTTTTGTTTTAGTTTATTTTTTGAGGGAGATGTGCATGCCACAGGCTGTTTGGCGGTTAGAGGACAGCTTTCGGGAGTCAGTTCTTTCCTTCTGTTGTGTGGGTCCCTGGGATCAACTCAGGTCATCAGGCTTGGCTGCAAGCAGTGCTCCCCACTGAGCTACCCGTCAGCCCCTGGTTTGTTTTTGGCACTGGTCTCCCTATGTAGCCCAAGCTGACATTGAACCTCTAGTCTTCCTGCCTCAGCACCCAACTTGACAGGTGTTTCACTTTGTTTTGTTTTTAACGATGCCGTGTCCTAACCTCAGATCTGCCATCGTCCTACGTCTCAGAAGTTCCTTGGAACTTTTTCTTCTTCTCTGTTTTCTGCTCTTCAGTGTATTCTCGCCTCAGACACTCCCCCATGGATTTACTGTTGCCGTGGTATACACCTGTTCTGTGAAATTCATGGTAAATGAAATATGCTGACCACACAAAAATATGTAGTATAAGGTGATTTGAGGGGATATTTTTCAGATTCCAGAGGGATAGTGTACTTTTGAACAGCACATGCATGTTTGGGAAGTATGTAACTGTTCCAGGCCAAGGTATCTGATAAGTTAGAAATGTAATTTATGAAGAAGTGGTCCACTATTTCAGTTCCAGGGACCTGGACAAATACTGAACATTTTGTTTATAGGTGTACAAAACTGAAGGCTGTCATTTTAGCGTAACCCATACATAGTCATCAGGGGCCATAACATCACGGAAACTTTGTAAGAGAATGTCTGTATGTCTCCCTAAAAGCTAGCGAGCTGTTGACTAAACATCTTTTGAGCCAAATACTTCACATTAGCTTGACGTCATCATTGTTCATCTCTCTGTGTTTGTTTTAATATCCAGCTGTTCCTGAAAAACTTTAAATGCTTGTTTTGGTGTTTATAAGAGCTTGTTGTGGTGTTTATAATAGTTTTTCTTTTGACAGTGATGTGAATTTTGAAAGTCAAGAGCGCACGGCCTGTAAAGGAAAGATCGCCATATCAGGTACATGTGGGCTGTTACTGTGAGTCGCTGAAGAAACAGGATTATGACGTGCTTAGTCCACCAGAACGTCTTGATTCTGCATTTCTAGCCTTTGTTTTATTGTCCAATACTTTTATCTGAATATTTTTTCATTCTACTTGGCATCTGCATAGAACTTCAGGGTTTGAGAAACTTTCACACACTGCCTTTGTCCTGCTTAGCCAGTCAGACAGGTAGGGTGTGTGACTTGTGAGAAAGGGCCCAGCAGGGCTCCCTGCTAAGACACAGGTTCCAGTATCCACCCCCTTGACCTGGCTCTGCTTGGATTGCAGGAAGTGCTCAGTGACTATTATTTGATGAGAACCACTTCGCCCTTGGAGTGAAGACCACACTCCCTACCCCTGCTCAGTTTTCCATTCTTTTCTCCAGCTCTCTCTCCATTGCATAAGCCATGTGCTTAGGTGGACATTTCACCTACAGTCGAGACACCTAGTTGGGTTGTGAAATTGCAGCGCTCTCCTGGCTCTGTCTGCTCCTATCACCCAGCTGCTGGGAGACACTTTGCCACTAGATGGCACCTGCGCTGTGTAGTCTCAGTTTCTCCAGAGCGCTGGGGCCCTGCACACAATGGTGGAGATCCTCCATGGCCACTGCTGATGTGTCTGTACACTAGCAACGTAATACATGCTTGCGAAACCATCAGTGCATTCTGGAAACAACAGCTTGTAGCTCCATCGGCCTTTAAGTAATAACTAGTTCGTTCCCTTGGTCCGCGACAGAGAGCTGGTGCTGGCCAGGGCCTGCTGCCCCCGGGCAGTTTTCCACAACCAACCCCCCCACTCATGGCTCACTTATCACAAGGAAGGACAGACCTGTGTTTATTTCAGACATCACTGGCAAAAATTAAAGAAACTGCCTTAAGGGGACCAACAGGTCTTCAGAAAAATAAATGAGTAAAGACCTATTGGCTGTTTAATGGCTGTTTATGGCCATGTTTTCACCCTCCTGCTTAGGACTCCCAGAGCTTGGCGTACCTGTGCTCTTTACTGCCAGACATGGACATTTACATGGTTATCCCTCATTTTTGTTTATGTTTAGATACGCTTTAACATTAATCAGTTAAATGTTATAGCTCTTTAGAGATTCTCTGCGATCACTTAAACGTCCTCCTTCTCTAATTGGCACCGCTTGGTATGCAGATGAGGTTAGTAAGTGTTCTGAAGACTTAAGTTCTGAGGTAGTCGACACCTGTTGTCATTTGGGGAGCTTATTTACTGCCGTGATTCGTATCAGAATTAGCTGTGTTTAGAGAGGGTCTTAAATAAAGATCCTTAAGGTGAAGGGGACCTTTTCATGACCGCAAACACCGAGGGGTAAGCCCTGAGCTTGTCTATACTTGTGTACCTTCTTTCCAGGAGATAATTTTAAATTCAGTTGAGGAACTGAAACTCACAGGACTGATGAGTGTGTGATGGCGGTTCACCTCTGCTGACACCTAGTTGTTAGAGCCTGTCTGTGTATCTATAAACATGCCCACCTTTACAAAGCTGGTGGGTTTTGTTTTCTTTTTTTGTAACTAGGATGAGAACACAGCTTTCATTTTGGCTAAAATGAGTATCTGCAGCAAGGGTCTGTTATGTTTCTGATACTGCTCACACGACAGCGCTGGGGCCCCAGGTTTCTAGTGGCAGCGCTCACTGACCAGGTATAAAAAGAGCAGACTTCTCCCCGTCCTGTCTGCCAAACACCAGATGACACCGTGTGGGATGTCGTGGCCGCAGGCTTGGCTTTTTCTCAGATTTCCAGTTCAGAGACTAAACCAGATCAGTTACCAAGTACTCACAGGTTTCACTTGCCTTTTCCACATTTTTGCGTGTGTGTGTGTGTGTGTGTGTGTGTGTGTGTGTGTGTGCGTGCGTGTGTGTGCGTGTGTGTGTGCGCGTGTATATATGTGTGTGTGTATGTGTGTGTGCGTCTGTGTGTGTGGTGTGTGTCTGTGTGTATGTGTGTGTCTGTGTGTATGTGTGTGTGTGTGGGGGGGTGTGTGCACGCATGTGCCTGCACACAGCTGCATGTGGAGCTCCAGGTCGATGTTGAGATCATTCTTGATGGCTCTTCTGTCTTATTTGCTGAGTTAGCGTGCCTCAGTCAAGCCCAGCGCTCTCTAATACGGTGAGTCCTGCTGGGCGGCCTGCCCTGGGGATCCCATCTCTGCCCTTCAAGGCTGTAGTCGTAGGTGAGTCACCATGCTCATCTGGCATTTACATGGGTTCTGGGGTGACTGTAGTGAGTGCTTAACATGAGCCCCAGGTTTGCTCTTTTCAAAATGACAGTCTTGCCCCTGATAGCATTAGGTTAGCCCACCCTGTTTTGATTGTCCCAGTTCACCGTAAAATGTCAGTGAAGACATAGAAGATACCAAGGTTGGAAATTGTGTGCTGAAACCCAGCTGACCACGTGCAAGAATCTGCAGGAGTCTGTCATTTGGACCTGCATGCCCTCTGCTGTCTGAAGAGTGCAGGGACACCTGGAAAACTCCTTCCCTTTCCACTAGGGGAGCTGTGGGGAGGCATGGGGAAGAGCAGGACTAACCCCTGGGCCCTGGGCCACAGCAGAAGCAGCCTGGTCTATGTTCCCTCCATGTTGCCTTCCACCTTCCACCACTGCAAGGACAGCTGTGACTGAGAGCCCAGACCAGTTGTGAAATGAAGTGAGTCAGCCATTGTGGTTAACCAAGAAGTGGGTTCCGACAGACCGTTACCTGAGTTGTAATTGTGAAACAATAAAGACATTCCTATTAAAATCAAGAACAAAATAACAATATCTATTATGTCAACATAATGTAAACCTGGTTGGAATCCTCGCTAAAATAATGACTGAAGAATGGAGCCATTGAGAACAGGTTGTGGGAGGATAGTGGATGACAGGCTGTAACCTAAGGGAGGGTACTGACACACTGGAATTAAAGCAGTCAGTGAAATGGTGGGATTTGGATAATGTATAAAAAAAGTGTTGGTATTAAAATCAGCAGTAACTAGCCAGAGAATATAGTGAGGAAAACGATGTACTTTACAATAAAACAACAAAACTCCCCCAAGTGTTAACTATTTAATAATAACCTTAATTAAAATGTAAACATCTAATCATGTGGTTATTAAATAAATAATTTTTAAAAATACAAAAATGTAAAAGCAGAGGCTGGAGAGCTGGCTCAGTGGTTAAGAGCACTGCCTGCCCTTGCAGAGGACCCAGGTTCTATTCTTAGCACCAACATGGCAGCTTACAACTATCTATAACTCCAGTTCCAGGGGATCTGACACCCTCTTCTGGCCTCTGTGGGCACTGCATAACACAGGTGCACTTGCATACATGCAGGTAATGCACTCATGCATGTAAAATAAAAATAATAAAATGTAAGGGTAAGGACTGGAGGTATAGCTCAATGGGAGGGTGTTTGGGAGGCCCTGGGTTTGATCACCTGCACTCCAAAAACAAAAAGTTAAAACAAATATAATAGTAAATTTTGTGAAGACAAAATATTATTTATTATTAGTTCCCAGGCCAGTGAGATGGTTTAGTGAGTAAAGGCACTTGCTGCCAAGCCTGAAAACCTGTTTGAACTTGATAACCTGGAACCCTCATAATGGAAGGAGAGACCCAACTCCCACAAGCTGCCTCTGAACTCTACACACACACACTCAAAGTAAATGTGCAAAAAACAAGTTATTAGTTCCAAGTAAATTTGGATAATAGAATCCACGACTAATAAGATGTTTGGGAGTTTTGACAAAAATTGTTCTAAAATTTATATAAAGAGATTAGTGATGATCAGAAGCTTCCAAAAGAAAATATTTCTAACTGTAAAGTGTATTATAAAGGACCACCCGCTCTAATATGGTGTTGGTTTAAGGATATATAGTTACTGAGAAGCGGTTCAGCCCAGTCCATAAAGCATTTGACCCAGGAACAGATGGGTTCAGAATCACATAAATCAGTGGGGAAGGGAAAGATGTGGGTGTGGAGCTAAAATAATTATTTTTATAAGAATATATTTTCACTCATATATTCCCTAATTTCACACATATTAAATAAGGCTTTAAAAAATATCAACCGTAGCACTGGAGAGATGACTCAGTGGTTATAGCACTGACTCTCTTGCACAGGCCTGGATTCAGTTCCCAGCACCCATGTGGTGGCTCACCATCACCTGTAACTTCAGCTCCAGGGATCTGATGCCCTCTTCTGGCCTCTGCAGGCACCTGTGTACACAAAGCCACACACAGACACATCATGTAAAATAAAATAAATCTTTTTAAAAAGTCAACTCTAAGCAGTTACTAGAAAACATACTGTTAAAGTACATTTCAGTTTGGCTTTGATGGAGTTCACTGGCTCACTTCATGGATAAAATAAAGCATTGAAATAATTACCACTTTCCATTTATTTTAGGTATTCGAATACCACTAATGTGGAAAGACTCTGATCACTTCAGCAGTAAAGAAGGTATGTAACTGAAATGTTTCCTTAGTGCATAGGAAGCAACTTTGTGATGACCGAAGACAGAACTCTTCCATACGGAGGTCTGTCGCTGCCATTCAACAGAGTAAGCACGGTATTGGGGAGCTATGGTTTTCTGATTTGGGGTCTGCATATCAGTTCTTGATTCTGATTAAGATAATGCATATGGAGTGCCCTTTTCCATTATTGGTAGGAACCGAGACACCAAGCCGTGGGCTCAGGGTTGGAGAGGGAGTTTAGCGCCAGAGCAAACGTTGTATGAAGAAAGACCATGTCTCTTGTCTGACTGGGATCTGGGAGATCTTTGCTGCTTTGTTTTGTGCCTTCTGATTATTAATGAAAGATTTCCTGCTTAATGTGGTTTTTTTGTTTGTTTGTTTGTTTTTGTTTTTTTCTGGTCTTCACTATTTTATGGCTTTGTACAGTCTTTCCAAATCTCTCAATTGCTTGGGTCGTGGAAATTAACCTCAAATGATTTCTGGCTGTTTGAGGCAAGGCAGAAGAGTTAGGATGATCCTTTATCTGACTTGTCTGTTGTGACAGCTTAGCTACTTAGACTCTAAACACTGAGTCATATGGAGCATAATTAGTTTTCTATGAAGAATTTAAAATCAGGTTAGTGTTTGTTATTCAATTAGGAAATATGATTTACTTTACAAAGGAATGCATGTGGAAATTAAGTAAATCTTTTTGATTACTATAGAGAATAAGTTTTCCTAAAGAACTACATTTTCTCAATAATGAGGATTTAGCCCTTTAATCACCGAGTACTTTTAAAAACATCATCAAGTTAAAAGGCCCAACAGTGATGTATTTTGTACCCCATGTCTCCTACTGTTGAGTGTCTTTGGTTGGTTGGCTTGTTTGGGTGGTTTTCTCTCTCTCGCTTTCAGTATACTGGAAAATGTTTTGCTGTTGGTGGTGTGTCTATGCTTAAACTCTTCCAATAAGAAACATTTTTTTCTTAACTAGCTGTGGAAACCAAATGACAGGGAGTCCTACATATGATATTAAGTTGACTGATGGGCATAGTGATTTTTAGTAATGAAGTTTGACTTTGGTCATCTCTTTGGGCTGCTAAAAGCCCGTCCGTTTATTTTTCTTTTTAAAAAAATATTTTATTTTTATTTTATCTGTATGCATGTATTGCCTGCATGTAGGTAAGTGCACCCGTGTTGTGCCACAGAGGACAGAAGAAGCTGTCAGATCTCCTGGAACTGGAGTTACGGAGAGTTGTTACCTGCCATGTGGGTGCTGGGATTTGAACCCGGGTCTCCTGCAAGAACAGTCAGTGTACATAACCGCTGAGGCATCTTTCCAGCCCGTCTGTTTATTTTTCAGCGCTCCTGGGTTATGGTTGGGTTTAAGTTGGGCGAGGATTGCTCACACACAGGGAACAGCCGCTAGAGATGTCAGTGGTCACAGTGTCAGTGTGTGACAATGATGATCTCTTAGCATATGTTTGAACTGATATCACTCATTTTCAGGGTGATTTTAAGATGATGTAGGTATGATTTGTCGTATAGTATTGCCTAAAATGTCATTTCTCTTCTCCAGGAACACAACGCTATGCCATTTTTTGTTTATTCAGAATGGGAGGTGAAGTTCTTGACACTGACATGGTGATTGTAGACCAGACAGTCACAGACATATGTTTTGAAAACGTCACCATATTGTAAGTATCCTTGATCTTTAAAGGATGGAATCTAAGGGGCTGGAGAAGTGGCTCAGCAGTTCAGAGCACGGCTGCTTTCCAGAGGAGGAGCAGCCACATGGCAGCTAACAACCATCTTCAACTCCAGTTCCAGGGGATCGGATGCTGTCTTCTGGCCTCCGTGGGTATTGCACAACACGGGTGCACTTAGAACGATGCAGGCAACACACTCATACACACTAAATAAAGATAAATAAATTTAAAAAATTCTTTAAAAGAGTGAAAATCTACTGCTTTTCTTGTTTGGTGAAGGCCTGATTACTGTGCCTTTGAATTCCTGTGGCCTGAATATTGGGCCCTTGGGTTCTTTACAAAGCATCAACAGCTTCAAAACATTCAAAAGATGCCCATTCCTGCATTTGTCCTTTATTTTTTTTATTTTTATTTTATATGTATGTGTGTATTGCCTGCATGTAGGTAAGTGCACCCATGTCCTACAGTGCCCGCAGAGGTCAAAAGAGGCTGTTGGATCCCCTGGGACTGGAGTTACAGACAGTTGTTAGTCAGCAGTTAAGAACACTGGTTGTTCTTGCAGAAGACCCAGGTTTGAATCCCAGCATTTGTACTTTTTTGATGAAAGATAAAATAGAAATCTTAAAATTAACAGAAAGCATTTGACACATTGATTCTGCTAAATTGTTAAGATTTTTATAAATATTTGTAGCTGCATCATTAACCCAGCTTTGCATACAGTAGTTTTATTTAGTATCACTGGCTGTAAGTGAATTTGGACATAAAGCGGCGCCTTTCTATTCCACATAGATTTAGTTATGGCGGGAATCTGGTTCGCGCAGTGTGGGCCTTGCTAACCGTGCACGGCTCTCACCTCCCCGCGCAGTAAGGAAGCCCGGCCGGCCCTGCTCCCGTGGCTCATGGTCTTCATATTCGGCTGAGTCAGCTCCTCACCCCGGAGGCGGAGTTGGCCAACCAGGCTCTCCCGCCTCTTTAGGGGTCCCCCCACCCCGGATTCGTTTTCTGAGGCTTTCAGGGGCACCGTTTCTCCAGAGGTGCTGGTAGCCGCCTGTTCACAGCCTTCCGCCGGTGCCGGTGCGGTGTGGGTTAGGCAGGGCCCCGAAGCAGGGCGGCCTCTTCGCAAGTTGTCTTTACGATTTCTCCAGAGGTGCTGGTAGCCGCCTGTTCACAGCCTTCCGCCGGTGCCGGTGCGGGGTGGGTTAGGCAGGGCCCCGAAGCAGGGCGGCCTCTTCCAAGTTGTCTTTACAACGCACTTCTGTAGGTCCCCTCAGAAACAGTCCCCAGGTTCTTGTGTGGTTCAGGCTAACGTGCATTTCCTTAGTTATCTGCCCTCTTCAGTTCCCTCTGCAGCTGTTGCTAATGATTTTTTTTCTTGCCAACATTATCCTCCTAATGGGTTTTTTCTTCACATCACTTGGCTATTGTTTACTTTTGCTACAGAGACAAAAGTTAGACACCCCTCCCCCAAAGAACAATGCAAATTACTGGGAAGACAACATATGATTTATTGGTTTTTGTTTAATTGTGTAAATATTTTAAATTGGCCTAAAAATAATTGCTGACAAATGTTCTAAATGTTAAAAAATGTGCTTTCTGTTATGATGATTGTTTTTAATAAGTATTCAATATTTATGAATCTCTGGTTTTCTTCTAAATATTGACATTTGTTAGTCATTACCGGGAATACTGTATGTTTAGACGCTGCCAAATAATAAACTATAAAAATATCTGGAAGTTATTCCTTGGATTTACTGAACTATACATTGGCCATTTAAATCTTAAAAAGTTTATGCTATGTTTAAAACCCAAGGCCGACAACCTGTCTTCAGGCCACATCTGCAGATGGACGCACGCTTAAATGTGTTTTGCTGTTAGTGACTCCACAGTGGGCTTTAACGCAAAAGATAGGCCATTGTGTCTAAAAGGCGTAAAGCCAGTCTTAGGATTTGGGGACACTGTAGGATTTCTATTTATTTATGTATGTATGTATTTATTGATTTATTATTTGTTATTTTAATTTCCTCTCCACCCTCCCCCCCCCCCGAATACATGTAGAGGTCAGAGGACAGCGTCAGGTGTCGGTCCCAGCTTGCACACACTTTGTCTGGATAGGCTCTGTCTTCTGTGGGTCACCAGGCCAGCTGCCTACGGACTTCTGCTGATTTCCATGTCTCCACCTCTAATCTCACCGTAGGAGTGCTGGAATTACAGGCACAGGATTTCTGTGTCCAGCTTTGCGTGGGTTCTGGGGACTCGAACTCAGGTCCTTATGCTTGTGTTGCAAGCACCTACCCAGTGAACTGGCTCTCCAGTCCACACTGCAGAATTTCTGAATAGGCTTAAAAATGTGTAAGTGCCTTCTACTTATTGGCACAGTGCTATGTTAAGACACGGAGATTCTCTAGGATGTTGTGCCTTCAACTACATTCCTTTATATTGCTTTTGTGGGGTATGTATATATATGTGCATATATAGTACATATATACGTATATAGTGAAATGTTTATAGTACTGGCTGCAAAGTGAGGTGGCGAATGAACACGGTCTCCTTATGAAGAAAAAATGGAACTTAAGGTTGTGTAGATTTTGATTTTGAGGAATAGTCATTTCTGGAAATTATACATAAATACCTTTAGAATAGTGGTATTAAAGGACTGTAAAGAAACATGTCATGACGAGAGTCCTTTATTCTTTGTCTTTAAGTAATAGGCCTATGTATATGTTGACTTAATTGAAATATGGTCCACTTTTGTTTGGTTGGTTGGTTTTTGGTTTGTTTTGTATATGTTTACATGTTCATGTGTGTACAAGTTGGGGCAGGATGTGCTTGCAGGTATGTATCCTGTGCCTGAGGAGGGCAGAGTATAACTTTGGGTGTCATTCCTGGGGATGCTGCCTACCCTGTTTTTTTGAGACAGTCCATCTTGCTGGCCTGTGGCTCACCTGGTAGCCTAGACTGGCTGGCCAGCAATCCCCAGGGATCCTGACTCCACCCTCCCAGTGTTGGGATTACAGACCCAGCTGCTCTCGACATTTTTAAACTCAGGTCCTCCACTAAGTGCTTGCCATGCGGGCGCTCTAACCAACAACTCTCTTCCCTCAGCTTCAAAGACCCTGGGTTAGAAGCTAACAGCTCTAAACGTTATAGTGACTCTTAGGCTATGTAGATTGTAAATAAACAAAGAAATTCTGTCGTTATGTCTATTTTAAATACTGATTTTGAATAAAGACATCCAAGGTGCATTAACTTTATTTCCTTAGTCTTTCAGCGTTAGACTCTAACATTGTGAGCGTCCTTGTTTCTAGTACCGCGGCAGGGCCAGACTTTCAGATAAAAGTGGAAGTGTACAGTTGCAGTGCAGAGGGATCGTCCATAGCCAACACACCGAGAAAACTGGTCAAGAAACTCAAGACCTCCATCAGTAAAGCTGCAGGGAAGAAGATAAGTCCAGCACTTCAGGAAGACAGCTACGAGGCAGGCTTGATCATCAGTTCTGTTCCGTAAGTTTTCTAGAGTAGTGTTTATGGTAGTGTATGTTTGTGGTATTTCGAAGTATTGTGTGTGGCCTATATGTTTACACTGTAAATGGAAAAACATCCTGAAACAGAAGGAAAGCCTGGTTGCCTGACATTTACCCAGCCAGGACACCCTTAGCGTCTTCCTTGGAAGGAAGGATGTCAGGCGATAGTGTGTTCTAGTTATTTAGAATTCCTGTACCCAACAGAAAAACGAAATGTTTTTCTTGAGAAGGGTCTGTATCTGTCAAAGTATTTGCTGCCGGTCAGTCCAGTAATTGGACTGATGTATGCATGCTGTTCTTAAGACCCTCAGGTTTACATTTGATCTCCTTTTAACAAACCAGTATAATATCATTACACACTGAAAATAAAAGTCCTTATATAATCTGATACACAGTCTGTATTCATAGTGTACATTGCTGAAAAGGTACTTTGGAGATTGTTCAAGTCGGGATCACATAAAGCCTGGCCTGCTGCCTCTGTGGGAGTCTTAGGTCTGTAAGTCTGTTAAAGTTGCATCCATTTTTCCCTTGCCCTTGTTTATTGAAGAGACCAGCCTCCTAGGCTGTCTGTATTTTACTCTAGCCAATTGTAACTTTGCAGTGTCTTTAAAGCACTTTTCAGGCTTCTCTACTTCCTGTAACCTCCCAGTAGGTCTGCAGGGCTGGTTGGATCTGAGTTGTTTAGGGCTCTAACTCCTCATCTTTTCCATGAGTTTTCCACTGTGTCCCGTTAGGAGACCCTGTCCCACTTTTGTGTTCAGGCGTTTCCGGCCTGATGTGTCCATTATAAAGCTCACTGCTATCTTTCATCTGATGCCTTCAGCAGGCATCGCCTTCAGCTGGTGGTGTCAGTGGTGTGATATTTCTACGGGGATTACAGTCTGGTGGCTCCCTAGATTGGCGCTGCATTTCTCCCTAAGCTGTCACTTACAGAGAATGCGTCCTCATGAACTCTCTGGATGCAGCTGCAGAAAAATCAGTGGAAGAGAGGAAAGGGGGAAAACTGATTTAGACTTAAATGTGTTAATGCTGTTACAAGACGGGAATGAATAATATTTTATTTGAGTGCTTGCGTTTCTATGCATCTGTGTTTTCTTTTTTAAATATTTTATTATTTTTTTTATTTTATGTGTGTGAGTGTTTTGCCTGCGTGTGTGTAAGCGCACTCGTGTCATGCAGTGCTAGTGGAGGTCAGAGGAGGGCATCAGATCCCCTGGAACTGGAGTTACAGATGGTTGTTAGCCACCATGTGGGTGCTGGAAACCAAACCCCGGTGCTCTGCAAAAGTAGCCAGATCTCTTAACCGTTGAGCCATCTCCAGCCCCAAATTTGTGGTTTTTGTGTGCTAGGTAGACTCTCCCATCTGTGGGCATGGAAACCTTCAGAGTGACAGGTGCTGCCTCCTTCTGCCACCCCATCTTCAGAGGCATCTTGGCTGTGGGCTGCCCTAGGGTGCTCAGTGCTCATCCATCTTTTCCTGCCCGGACACAGAACCGCAGAGCCTTCGCATCTCCCGCGTCTTCAAGCTCCTCTTCAAGCTCCGTGCTTCCCCTTGGCAGTTCTGTTTCCTTGGGAGACCGTTGACCAGCCAGCATTCCTGCAGTTTCTTTGCTTGTGTAGTAGAGTTGTCTGTCAGTAACTTACTGTGATCACAAAAATGAAAGATTTTAGCTATAGATCCTGGAAGAGTCAGTCATCAAGATGTAATTACATAACTTCCATGTCAGACACATTCCATCTGACATGTGTTGGCTCTCTGGCTCTAGTGGCTTTCCATTGTGTTATTTAGATTATCTTGATTGAGGCTCAAACTAAAAAATGCACTGTACGTCATGACTGAAGGTTCAGCTGCCTGCCTAGGTGGCTCCCATGACACAGTGCGAGCCCTGGGTATTGATAACATAGTGTTGGGCACATTTCTAATTCTGAGCCCTTTTGGGTTACAAAAATGCCATCTATGAGTCATTAAATTGATTTTATGGTCCATGAGTAAATAGAGCTCAGTCCATAGTCAGAACAGCCACAAAAGATGTCTGACATGCATATTGAAAAGGAGGCCAAGGGGCAGCAGTAAAGCACACTGACCGCTCTTCCGGAAGACCAGAGTTCAGTTCCCAGCACCCACGTGGTTGCTAACAACCATTCACAACTCCAGTTCCAGGGGATCTGATGCCCTCTTCTGACCTCTGTGGGCATTGCACGAATGTGGTGCACCTACATACATGCAGGCAAAACTCTCATGGACATAAAACAAAAATACATAAAAAATTTAAAAACTATTTTAAAAGGCAGAGGACCTTTATTTTTCTTCCTTGAGATCTGAGACTATTTAACTTTATTTTACATTAAGATTATGTCAACTATTTGCTGGAATGTACTTTAGTTCAGTCATAAGGAAAACATTTTTTATGGAGATTGCATAATTCTGTTTTCCAAGTTGAAAGCTCTTAGAACTGAAAGAGATCCTGGAGATAATTTCCTAATTCACTGGTCACGTTTTTAAAGTAGTGACAATGCTTGTTTAAGAACTGGAAGAGCCTGTAGTGTCTTGAGCTACTATGCTGTGAGCATACCGCGTGCTCCCTGGGCCCGCTGCTTCTCTGCACCAGAAGGCAGAGGTCCTACCCTTTCCTCTCTGGGTGCACCCCAGAGGCATTGTGGGAGTTTCAGAGTTCTCAGATGTATGTGGAAACAGTGAATGGAATTCTCAGGTACCTGAAGACTTTGTTGTTTGGCGGTGAATATTTAATTTTTTTTTTAATCTTATGTGTATGAGTATATTGCCTGCATGTATGTAAGTGCACCATGTCATGCAGTGCCCACAGAGGTCAGAAGAGGGTGTCAGGTCCCCTGGAACTGAGAGTTCCAGATGGTTGTTAGCTGCCATTTGGGTGCTAGGAGCCAAACTCAGGTCCTCTGTAAGAGCAGCCAGTGCTCTTAACTGCTGAACCAGCTCTTTAGCCCCAATTTTTAATTTTTTATTCTGTCATTTATTATTTGTGTGACCCAAGGCAGATTGGTATTCTCTGACTTATCCCACAAAAATAATAATAACAATAATGATAATAATAATAAATGCAGTAATCTCTAATCCTGTAGAATCATCATTATGAAATTCAATGGTTAATTTTTGGACTTGGTATAAAGTAAGCATTTAGTAAGTGCGGCCTACATTGCTGTTTCTGTTTTTGCTTTTTTTTCTCTAAGCTTTTCTAAGTTCATGCTGAGCGCTGCCTTTTGGAACTGCGTCGTAGGGTTACCAAACATGGTGCTTCCCTTCCTGTCACCTTTGTAATTTCACAGATCGTCTAGATGAGGTTAGACCCTCATGCAGATTTACCCTACGTTACCCTGTGAAACCTAGAGGTATTTAACAAATGTTTATTTATTGTATTGTTCCAGTTTATATGTATGAGTGCGTTGCCTGAATGTAGGTAGGTGCACCTGTGCCATGCAGAGGCTGTCGGATTCCCTGGGAGTACAGATGGCCGTCAGCCACCATGTGGGCTGGGAATCAAAGCCTGCTCCTCTGTAGGAGCAGCCAGTGCTCTTATACTGAGCCATCTCCCCAGCCCCCTAGATGTAATTTTGAGAGCCTCACTATTGTATATTAAATCATTTTTAGTAGAGATGGGCATCGCAGCCTGGAAATATTTGTTCTTCTGCTCACATCTGTCCTTCCGTGATTTCCCCATGATTTCGTATGCTAATTTTCTTTCCCTCTCTCCTTTTTTGTTTTTATCTTTTTTTTTTTTTTTGAGACAGGGTTTCCCCGTAGCCCCAGCTGGCCTGGAACTCACTATGTAGACCTGGCTGGCCTCGATCTCACAGAGATATGTCTGGTTCTGCCTCTCGAGTGCTGGGATTAAAAGCATGCGCCACCATACTGGGTCTTATGCTAATTTTCTTTATAAACCTTTTCCGTGAAACCTGCATGCTGTTTGGTTATTTTATGCCATTGGAGTCTGCCAACATATATGATAATGCCTTTTATTACACTTTACCTAATCTCATTCTCCGAATCCCAGCATTGTGTTGATTCTGGTTTGAATTCAGCTGTACTCGGTCACACCCACTGCCCAGAACTGCTCCCTTAACCTTCCCTGACTGTCCACGCTGCCACTGCTGTGACGGTTGGAGACTGGCTTCAGTGTTTAGAGTGCAAAGAGGATTCATTCTGCTTCTTCAATATGGATCAAGTTCACTGTTGAGACTTGCCCTTCAGCTTTAATTTAGTCTTTGACTTAGTCTTTAACCAAAGTGGGTACATATAAAATAATATATATGTAGACTACAACATGTGACCAAATATAGCTGTTTTTTTCTTGAACGGAATGCATTTTCTTTTCAGAGTACCATTTAAGTAATCTTTATTTTTCATACCAGTTAACCCCTCCCCCACCCCAAATATTATAGCAGTTGGCCTATTTGATTTTAAAAAATGTAGCTGATTAAACTTTCGGGAACTCAATATTAGGGTTGGCTAGAAGGAATAAGTGTAACGTTTTAGAAAGAAAATGTTATCCTGACAAGAATGTTTTAAAAGTGAAGTCATTGTTGGTTCTGGAAGCAATGCCATTATAATTAGTCATGGTCTAAAAATGAACTGCTTCAAATATCATCATAAAGTATTGTTGGGCTTAAAAGAAGACAGTGAACATTTTTGGTAATTTTTAGTATGTTCCCTGATGTGACTCATTTTTTCTTTTTATTTGTGGAATTTAGCTGACTGAGATTCCGCTTGCTAGATTTTCCCGTCCCTCTAATAGCTTAATTAACTGTTTTATGCTTCTTGGTAGCATGGACAGTATTCTTCATCATACAGACACAGATTTAAAAATATTCCATGAAAACTTGCCATGACAAGTGTGAATTTTACTTCACTCAAAGATAAAGTTCTGAAAAGCAAGCTTCAGGGGCTGGAGAGATGGCTCAGCAGTTAAGGACACTGGCCGCTCTTGCAGAGCGCTCATTGGAAGC